AAATGCACACATTGTCACATGACTGAACCTGTGTGTTCCTTATAGGTCACTTAGGGACTTCCTGAGTTGAAAGTGAGGGATAATGCTTTAAAAAGACCTTTCCAGATTTCCGTCACAGCGGGTTCTTATGGGTTAACAATGTTCTTTGTCCCACTCTGGTATTTCTGATGCGGTTGCTGCCAATGCACAACGTTTTTTCTCCCCCTTGTGTTGTAGTAATGCATAAATGCTCATAGGCCCGCTGCATGGTGCAGCCAGGACCTTTGTGTGCTGCATGGTTAATTCACTGATTTGGCATATTTTAATAGCTTTTGCCAGAGTTAAATCACTTTCTCTGAGCAACACTCTTCTCACGCTATCATTGTCTATGCCAAACACCAGTCTGTCTCTGATTAATTCGTCTGTGAGTGCACCAAAGTTACATATTTTTGCTTTATTTCTTAGCGTAGGGGAGCGCGGGACACACAGTAACGCGGGGTTAGTTGTAACACACATGGTTTGAATATTTCCACACATGCTAGCATAACAAAATTTATGGTATTTACTAGTTGCCATATCAACACTATATAGAGAAAAAACTGTGCCAAAATTAAAAAAATCTTTTGGAGATATCGCTGAACATTTATTTTTACCATAGTAAAAGTACATTTCTGGCTTAAGTTAATTTTTCATCTCAGTTTTTAGTATTTATTTAAAATAATGCAAATCTGCTATTATTTTGATCTCCAATCTCTTATTGATCAGTTTAGATAGTTTTTTAATACGTCGCTAACTAGCAGAAGACACTAACCAATTTTAAATTCCAGTTGCGCAGATGGGGCACGTTGTAACACTGTGTTACAATGTGCTATTATATGACATTAGCGATGTAATTTACACTATTTATGTTAATGTATTTTAATGAGAAACCATGAGGAATAGGTGAATAAAGACTGACAGTCAATGTTTATGCTCAGAAGTGTATTATTTCAAGAAATGTAAAGCATTTTTGCTCATTTATGTGGGTCATCCCAAGCATGGTTGCAATTTGTTCATTGTCAAACTCCAAAATCAGATCATTTTTATTTCTTAAAAAACGCTTTTATTTTAAAAATGTATTTTAATTATTTTATTTTAAAAATGTAATTATTTTATTTTGTTGACAAAATATTTTAGTTTGTCTTGTATATTTTTTTCATGCGATCAGATAACATTTTAAGCTGTCATATGGTCATGAACAAAATTTATGGTATTTACTAGTTGCCATATCAACACTATATAGAGAAAAAACTGTGCCAAAATTAAAAAAATCTTTTGGAGATATCGCTGAACATTTATTTTTACCATAGTAAAAGTACATTTCTGGCTTAAGTTAATTTTTCATCTCAGTTTTTAGTATTTATTTAAAATAATGCAAATCTGCTATTATTTTGATCTCCAATCTCTTATTGATCAGTTTAGATAGTTTTTTAATACGTCGCTAACTAGCAGAAGACACTAACCAATTTTAAATTCCAGTTGCGCAGATGGGGCACGTTGTAACACTGTGTTACAATGTGCTATTATATGACATTAGCGATGTAATTTACACTATTTATGTTAATGTATTTTAATGAGAAACCATGAGGAATAGGTGAATAAAGACTGACAGTCAATGTTTATGCTCAGAAGTGTATTATTTCAAGAAATGTAAAGCATTTTTGCTCATTTATGTGGGTCATCCCAAGCATGGTTGCAATTTGTTCATTGTCAAACTCCAAAATCAGATCATTTTTATTTCTTAAAAAACGCTTTTATTTTAAAAATGTATTTTAATTATTTTATTTTAAAAATGTAATTATTTTATTTTGTTGACAAAATATTTTAGTTTGTCTTGTATGTTTTTTTCATTAGATCAGATAATATTTTAAGCTGTCATATGTTACAATGTGCCCCTCAGATGTTACAATGCAGCCCACCTCCGGGGTATGTTGTCCCGTTACTGTGTTTACAAAATAACTGTGGATAAAAAAATTATGCTATGAACCCCATGTGGATTTACACAAACTGAGAAAGTCAAAAAGTGTTACATTGTGCCCCGCTCTCCCCTACTCACGTAAGCCTCGATGGTTACTCCTGGTTTTTTATTTCTGGTGTTAAAGGGGTCATATGATGTTGCTAAAAAGAACATTATTTTGTGTATTTGGTGTAATGGAATGTGTTTATGCGGTTTAAGGTTAAAAAAACACATTATTTTCCACATACTGTACATTATTGTGGTAACACTTTACAATAAGGTTCATTAGTTAAACATTAGTTAATGTATAAACTAACATGAACTAACCATGAGCAATACATTTGTTACTGTATTTACTAATCTTCACTAACGTTAGTTAATAAAAATACAGATGTTCATTGTTAGTTCATGTTAGTTCACAGTGCATTAACTAATGTTAACAAGATTTTAACAATGTATTAGTAAATGTTGAAATTAACATTAACAAAGATTAATAAACGCTGTATAAGTGCAGTTCATTATTAGTTCATGTTAACTAATGTAGTTAACTAATGAACCTTATTGTAAAGTGTTACCATTATTGTTTCTCCTCTATGCCCCGCCTTTCTGAAACGCGTCGATTTTTACAAAGCTCATCGGTCTGAAAAAGCGAGGTGTGCTCTGATTGGCCAGCTATCCAGTGCGTTGTGATTGGCTGAATACCTCAAGCGTGTGACAGAAATGTTACGCAATAAGCGCTACTCTACACTGCTCAAAACTCGTGTTTGAATTTAAATTGTTTAAATATAAAAAACTTATTTACAGACTGTGAGTCAGAACAGCCGGCATTGCGGTCTACTCTACCAGGATCAGAAAACAGTCCTCCATAAAATGTACTGCAAACATCTGAATATCTGGACTCCGCTTCATCCATGGTGAAAGCCTATCCAGCAATCCACAGCGCGAAGATGATGTATTTCCTCAGCGACCAGCACAGATCAGTTCTAGGCATGATGAAGCGGATATCGTCCTCTTTTGGAAGACCAAACAAAGTAGTTTCGCTTTCACAACGAAACACACAGCGTCTTCACGACATGGCTGCGGTGGCAACAACAATACTACAGCGAGAATAAAAGCTATGCCTTCTTTCTTTGTGTGAACATTTGGGCGGCGTTATGCAAATCTTCCTACATCGTGACATAGACATGTGGGGGCGTGTTAGAACGAGCCGTTTTAGGTAGGCGTGGTTGACTTTTAACTTTTATAAAGAATATCTCTTTTGATTTGAGACTTTAGTCTTTGCAACTTTACAGATCTTCTTTATACACCAAGAGCTTGTAACACTTCAAAGAGAAAGGAAAAATTTAAAACGCATCATATGAACCCTTTAAACGAATGTCTCTCCATCGTCACGGTTTGTCTCCAGATTGCACACTTCTCTGAATTTACGCTTTAAAGGGGTCATATGGCGTTGCTAAAAAATAACATTATTTGGTGTATTTGGTGTAATGAAATGTGTCTATGCAGTTTAAGGTTAAAAAAACACATTATTTTCCACATACTGTACATTATTGTTTCTCTGGATTCTGGATCCTCTCTTGACTCCGCTGGTGTAATTACATCTTGCCCATTGGCAGCCAGTATCGCTGGAGCATGTGAATGAACGCTCTCTTTCAGTTGCCTCTGGTCCCGCAAGATTGAGGAGTATGTAGGCTTTAGTTTTATCTGGCTTTTCACTGTGGGCTGCTGCGATAAATATGTCAAATTCCAGTTTTCTTCTATGTTGCTAACGAAAATCAGCGGGTCTGGTCGGCGAAATCCTTCGGCCATTGTGTCCTCTTCTATCCTCTTTCTTTGTTGAACATTTTGACTTCTGACACCATGCAGTTTGTTATGGAGACAGAGACTATTTGTATATTGGAGAACAACATGTTTATTAGCTCTCATGTAGAGCTTGCATCACTCAAAACTTGTATATCAAACTTATCTAAACAGCAAGGGGCACTCCAACACAGGAAAGACCATATATGAACATAGCTTAGCTTCCTTAAACACATCTTGACCATATCTTAACTAACTGAATCGTACATTATCAATTATCTAAAATTAGTACAAATGATCCAGAATGCTGCAGCATTACTGGTCTTCAATCAACATTGATCCATTAATTCAAATTATTTTTTATTATTTTGTTCATATATTTTTAAAACAGACTGAAACAATAAAAAAAAAAAAAACAACACCCAGCAGTGTCCCTCAGAACTATCATTTAAATAAATTAAATATGAAATGAAAACGACACCTCCCTCTGCTGGTGAAAATGGGCATGTAGCAGTAATAGAAAATATTGGAAGAAAAATGGTCCACAAGTAATGGTGGCTCTAGAACGATCTACAGAAATTGAAGTAAGGTGTTACTTATACTTTACACGCAGGTGTACATATCATGACATCAGTACAGCATTATTAACAACAATTAAGATCCAACTTTTGATTTTGTGAATGAAGCTTTTTTGTGAAATTAAGTTGAGCCTCAGAGTTAAAGTCAAGTCAAGTCACCTTTATTTATATAGTGCTTTTAACAATACAGATTGTATCAAAGACATTTGAGACATTGAGAGCATATGTCGTATTTTAGATATATTTTTGAGATGGAAAAATGCAGTTTTACAAATGCTAGAAATGTGGCTTTCAAAGGAAAGATTGCTATCAAATAGCGCACCAATGTTCCTAACTGATGACGAAGAATTGACAGAGCATCCATCAAGTGCTAGACAGTGTTCTAGGTTATTACGTACGGAGTTTTTAGGTTTTATGTATTTATAATTAACACCTCTGTTTTTTCAGAATTTAGCAGTAAGAAATTACCGGTACTTGTCATCCAGTTTTTTTATATCGACTATGCATTCCGTTAGTTTTTCCAATTGGTATGTTTCGCCGGGCTGCGAAGAAATAGAGCTGAGTATCATCAGCACAACAGTGAAAGCTAACACTGTTTTCTGATGATATCTTCCAAGGGTAACATGTAAAGCGTGAAAAGTAACGAATCACAAATGGTACATGTGAAAAAACACATGAGCATACTGTACTTTGTGCAAACTGCACACAAGGGTGAAGAGAGTGGACATAGCCTTATCTTCCCATTCACTAGTGTATTCCTGAGGAGAAAAAAACCATGTAAATCTCAAACTCTCTCATCACAAATCTTAGTGTCTTTTATTTCAACATAACAGATTATATTAGCTCAACTGCTCTGCTTTGAGAAGGTCTCACCCCATTGAAGGTGATCCAGGGAACATGAATGTGTGCTGGTTTGAGCGCCTGCGTCTTCACTGCATTCTGATGCATCAAACTGTGGCCAAGCTCTCCTCTGGTACAAGACTCTATGGTCTGCCATTTAACAAACGGTGCATAGAGCTGCAAACACTGGCAAAGAAAAAAAAGACTCATAATGGCTTCTTTGTTCAAACATAATGCTGTAATGAGGGCGAGTAATGTTGGCTCAGAGATGCTTACAGGCTTAGCAGATTTTAGTACATCTGCAGATGACTCCATGCAGTAAATGACAGGAAATGCTGAATGATTGGCTGCATATAAAACACATGCCTATTAAAAAGAAGAACTATTAGGAATGTTTAACTAGAGAAAGAGATAAATCTTTTTCAAATCCACAAAATCAAGTGAGCTGCCTTGCTCTTTTTACTGCTTTCACACAGCATATTCCTGAGGTTTGCATGCTGCTAAGCTAATAACAAAATACTCTAAACATAATATACAAACACACAAATAAAAAAAATCATTAATATATTTAATCAATCATTTGTTATGTAATGACATGTAAATTTTATTTGTAGTGTAGTCAACATGTTAGGTAATAAACTCACCTCAACCATGTTAGCATAGCACTCTGGTTCTCCATGTTGACATGAGAATGAATTCTCTTCAGGAAGTTCCTTAAATTGCAAGTTAACAGTCATAGACAAAAGAAACATCACAACATTTTATCAATTACAACACACAGACTCCTATGAAAGAGCAGAGGTGTACCTTAGCATTGCCGAAGGGCACCAGGTTGACTTCCATTATATCTTTTAGTAAAGTCCATGTTGGGAAGAGTTGCTCTGTTAGGAACGCTCTGCAGCCTGGACAAAGGCTCTCGTAATAGAGAGTGATCTCTACGGGAGGAACCACTGGGTCTGGCCGGGTTGCGTTCAGTTCCATACATTGTTTCCACACCTATTCAGATGCATAAGGAAAGATATTCCAGAGATATTTTGACAGTGCCACCCATAGTTGATTGTTTGCTTCAGTTGCTCTACCAAGGACTGAAATTCTCCAGGAAAGCTCTTTTCATGCTGAGCTAATCAAAATGACCACAGTTGAAAGTCAAATGGATTTGTGTGCCATTGAGAAGGTGATTAGCTACACCTGATTGAGTTTACAAGTCATTTTTTAGGAGGGGGTGATCATTTTTCCAACTCAGTAATTCTGTTTAATTTTTTTTATTATTTTTTTTTGTATCTTTAAACTATTTACAGGATGAACATCACGTGCGTGTTTTCACATGGATCAACATTTACTACACAGAGCCATTGTTCACTGACAAGCTGCGCAAAACCACAATCATATTTTGCGCAGCTTGTCAGTGAACAACGGCTCGGTGTAGTAAATGCTGCTCCATGTGATAGCACGCATGTGATGGAGATTTACCGCTGATTACAGAACCGGCTTTACTGGCAAGATGCACATTAAATATCACATGCGATTTATCATGCAGCCCTACCCTGAGCTTAGAGTATAAGGACATACAGTTGTAGACATGAGGACCATCATCAAACTCATGATGTGACTCATGGCCTGTTTAATTGGAAGCTGTTTGTGTTCAAAAGCATGAGAGTAATTTATAAGCACAAAGAAGTCTTTGAAAGTAATGTTGAACACAGCTTCATTACAAGACCAGTGTATCTGTGCAATATACTCCATAAAAGTCAATATTCTAAACAGTCAGTAACACTGCAAATTAACATCAAGTACTATATTGCTTTATGCAAGTGAAAACAGATGAATTATTCTGTATTGTAGGTCACCTTAACCATTTTTAAATAAAAAGATCGACATGCCTTGAGATGCAGCAATATTACGGTTTTTAACAAGCCACAAATCATTACAATCTTGATACTGAGCTGCAGAAATGCCTCTATCATTTAAAGATGGCAAACAAATTATGTAATTGTTTCAAGACTTAAAATCAACCTCTTAAACAGACTTACCCCACATTCTATGGCAATTTCCAGAGACCTGCACCATTGGGATGGAGGGTATCCACATGAAGGCTTTGGGTGAGATTTACACTGGATTTCATAAACTCTGGAGAATATGACATAAAACACACAGAGCATTAGAGTGTTCATGCTGTTGGTATTTAGAGAGTCCCTGAGCTTTCTGTGAGCAGTATGAGAGCTTGCGTCCACTTTCCTCCCATGAAAAGAACCTCCAATCAACTGTGAGCAGCTGCAGCTGAACAGACACAACACTCACTGACCTCAGATCAGCAAAGAGAAGCTGCTCATGTGCAAAGAGGGTTCACAACTGAGTGTTGTGGCTTTGTGAATGTCACAATAATAGATAACTATACAGTACTACCTTAATAAAATCTTTAAATATCTTAATTGTTTGAGTTGGTCATACCAAAACAAATGCCTAAAATCTACAGTTATTACTCATTCCATAATCCATATCTATACTTTTATCTTTAACCGCAACTTCAGTTCATTTAACAATCATACAAATCGTTCTTTGATACAGACTGAAGAGTACATGAAGTTTATTTTTGCACACAATTATGATAGTATAAGATCTGTTTCTGTGTAATGGTCTGTTCAATGTTGGGATTTACAGGGGTTTGTGTTATGCTGCTGTTTTTGGGGGTTACCATTTTGAAGAGTAGAGCCTGTGGTTAGGTTGATAATGGAACAAGATACATTAAGACTATATAAACTGCATGTTGCATTTGAGAAATGCATTAAAAACAATAGCTGTGCATGTGCCATTTTAGTGAAAGTCTGATCGGTTAGCAATGTATGGGTGCTACTGCCAGCTAATAGTTTGCTGCTATGTTTAATTGTGTACAATAAACTAAGTTCACTTTATTTTATTTATTTGTTTACCTTATTTCTCTATAATTCATTCATTCATTGAATTCAAAAGGTATTTTTAATTGATTTTATAGCTTTCAAATTTTCTCAATATTTTTTAAGTGTAAACATGTTTTACCAAAAAAATCATTTTGTGAAAGCTGGTAAGAAACACCAGGTACAAGCAGTGGTGTAATGTAACGAAGTAATAATACTTCGTTACAGTCCTTAAGTATTTTTTGGGAGTATCTGTACTTTACTTGAGTTTTTATATTTCAGCCAACTTTTACTTTTACTCCACTACATTTCTTGATTAAAATGTATACTTTTACTCCGATACATTTCCCCAAAGCATATTTGTTACTTACTACAAAATAGTCATAAGTCAGAAGAACACGGACTGCAGGAAAGCAGGTTTGACGAATCAGTGGTCTGGCATTTGCAAGTTAGACTCCTAAAAACACCTTTGCTCATGTGCAAACAAGTGCGTGCACAACCACGGATGATTCATTTTCCACTCAAGTCGAGTCTGGGGTGTGCGCTATACAGTATTTCTTCTGCGATAATATGGTAAGTGTTGTTGTAATGATATGCGTTCTGACATTATCAAGTAGGCTATATCACCAAATCACACACAGAGTGCACGCACGTTGATTTATTAGTCTATTAAAACTCAAAATTCTAGGCATTCTAAATTATGGACGGCAAAAATGCTTCTGTATGCTTTTTATATTTATATAATTTAATATAGTTAACCTAATCTATATCACACAAAGAGTACCGTTTTTTTGCAGATATCAGCATGAACACACATTTAATAATCATTTTATACAAGTTCAGTAAAGCAATAAGTGACTTACATTTTAGATATAATATTGCTTGTTTTTGCTCAATTTTGCCAAAAAAACGGATAAACTTTGTTTTTAATATCCTCCTCCTTTTTTTCTCTAATAGATGCCTGCTGTAGGTACGCTGCAGCTCCTCAAACACTGAACAAAATAAAACAAGTAAAAGCATTTTTTTTTTCAAATTACTTTCCAAATTTAGAAATAATTTTCCTTCATTTAAGTAGTGTGAGAGCAACGATGCTCTAAATGTGTTGGCATAGCAACGTGATACTTCCGGTTTCCTTTTCCGCCTGTCCTACGAAGGCCATCTCATTTAATTCTAGGTTGAGGACACTTCGTATACATGCATCCTACAGAGGATGCGACCTCCAGAGGATTCGACCTCCGGAGGGTGCAGCCTTCTAAATGAGACACAGCTACAGTTGAATGCTTTGTTCCTGAATGAATCAGCCATTTGAATAAATCGGTTGAATCTCAATGAGTCACTCATTAACAGTCACTTGCTGCCACCTACTGGCGGTTTTAATTTCACATTTTGACTATTTTTTTCATGTTATGAATTATTTCAAATATCAGTATTCAACGTTTTATGTTAAAAACAAAACATTAGGCCTATTTATGCATCTGTAACTGCAGTTTAAATGCATCCATGTCCCCTCTGAGATACATTAAACTGTAGGCTAAATGCCATTTCAGATACAGATTCCAGAAATTATTTCTTATGTTGGAATGAAAGACACTAAGTACCGAATGAAGTGCTTCTTATTCTTACCCAAAAATACAAAATGGAAGAAAGAGTTAAAACTGAACACAATCTTGCTACTCAAGCTATATAAATATATATATTTGCTTCTTTTCCATTTACTTGTACTTTTACTTTTAATACTTAAGTACGTTTAAGATTTAAAAAATACTTTTCATACTTAAGTACAATAAATATCACATACTTAGACTTTTACTCAAGTAATATTCTAAACGGTGACTTCAACTTCTACCAAAGTCATTTTCTGGTAAGATATCTGAACTTTTACTTGAGTATGGCTTTCAGGTACTTTATACATCACTGAGTATAAGCTAAAACAATGTTGGGCCTCCTCTACACAACTTCTGAGGGTTGAGAGTTAACCAGGGCAAACAGTTCCTGCCGCATATTGCAACAACATTACTCCAGCCAGACATGATCATTTGCTATGTTAGCCTATAGAGGTGGGCTGCATGGGCTTTACAGGACGGTCAGTTTTTAAAGTTTTCAGTTGGCTGGGGATTACAGGGGCAGCAAAAAGAACAGCCAAATCCATATGTGAAGCTGCAGAAAGAAAACACTAGGTGGCTTTGGATCAAGAGGGCTGAACCAAGTGCAGTTGCTACTGGGATGCAGATTGGGGCCTGATCAACACCGGCCGGCTCATCTGGGAGAGGGTGTGTGATGTTGAAAGACCTGACACACCCGAGGACCCCAGGGAACATCATTGAAAATGTGTCCTAGTGCAACAAGACAATGAATCCCAGCTAACAAAAATAAGTTGTCAGAATGTTTTGCTAACATTCCCATTAAGTTATTTCGGAATGTTTTGTACACGTTGAAAACGTCCAGGTTTTTTTCCCATGTATTAAGAACGTTTTTTTGTGGGGTTTCTGCGAACGTTACAGGAACATTCCATCCTACCATTTTGAAAATATTACGAAAACGTTATTACTGAATGTTCTTTAAATGTTTAAAATGTCCAGTTTGTTTTTCATGTATTAAGAAAGTTTTTGTTTGGTGTATGTGAATGTTACAGGACCATTCCATTCTATCATCTTTAAAACATGAAAATGTTATTAGTGAATGTTCTTTAAATTTTTTAAATTTGCATTTTTTCATGTATTAGGAAAATTTTTTCTTGGTTTATGTGAACATTATAGAAACATTACATTCTATCATCTTGAAAGCGTTATGAAAATGTTATTTGTGAATGTTCTTTAAACGTTTAAAATTAACATTTTTTCATGTATTAGGAACGATTTTTCTTGGTTTATGTTAACGTTATAGAAACATTACATTCTATCATCTTGAAAACATGAAAACTTTATTTCTCAATGTTTTTTAAACATTCAAAATGTCCAGATTTTTCATCTTGTTAGGAAAATGTTAGGAAAAACTGTTTCTGAATGTTGAAACGTTATATAAAACATGCAAATATCCTCCAAACATTGCCCTGGGAACTTTTTGATAAACAAATATCAATTCAAAAAATAAAATTTGATAAAAAATTACAAATTATTTTTGTCAACACCAAAAACTGTAAGATACTACAAAAACATGTTTCATATTTTAATATATTTGATATTTTCATTCATATTTTATTTGTCTACCTTTTGCCAAGGATAAGTGCACTGTAACATACAGTACATCTAAAATTAAAACAATAGCATAACTGATATCTTACTTTACTTTCACTTTTTATATACTCAAACATTCCACAAACTGAAACATTCCAAATCTTACATAACAAAATACATTCTGTGTGTAAAACAACTAATTAAGTGTGTTCTATGTGTCTTCTTTTCCACAAGTCTCTGCTTCGGGCTGAAGTGACACCTTAGATTGCAGCATCTATATAAACAAAACATAGTATTAGTATACAGTATATTCTGTATTAAATTTGCATTGTTTTCTTTATTAATCTTTTTTACAGACTACAAAAACTTCAAAAGCCTTACCTTATCTCTGTGTGGTGCAAACTTCAGTGTTTCTGATATGAAGTGCTCAATTACATTTTCCAGCACATTAGTGTGTGTTCGACGACAGGCATCTTAAAATCCAGTTAAGATACACAAAACTCAAACATGTTACTGTTACTTACAATAAATTATGATTACAGTATGTACAATACACTGCTGATTTCCTCAATACCTCATATGCAGTCTTTGGCCTAGCTTGCTCTGAAAATAGAGTTTGTCTTCAGCGACTTACTATAAAATGTTTGGAATAAGAAACAACTGAGAAACAACTCACGGATTATGACATTACATATTTCCAGTTCCTGGAAATTCTTCTATCTCTTGCGGCCTTTATGACTATATTGGGCCCATAGAGCATTCGTCCTGAGTTTTCGAAGTAGTCTTCTGACCGACTCCCCAGGCGTGTTGCCTCCCATGAGGCTCAGCCAATCGATCTGAAAATAAATGTAATGCTATATTATGCTGCACAGCAATAACTAACAGCAATATCTGAACCAAGAAAAATAAAACTGTGTGCATCATTACATAAAATAAAATGGAAAACACAGGGTTGCTTTGGTGTTTGGTTTGTTGTGCTGTGCTTAGCCCACTACACCACTCCGCCTCACCAAAGGTCACACACAGCTGGAGTTACAACAATGCATATGACACTGTGTTCCAAGTTAATTTTACACAGAACAGGCCACAGTGGCAGACTGCTGTACGATTTACGATGTAAATCATCGACATTCAAAGAAATGTCTAATTCCCTAGCTTACTTAAAACACTGTGGGGATACATTTTCAAGTGCTTCAAGAGTTAGTCTT